TTCCCTTCCCTTCCCTTCCCCTCTTTCTTGTTTTTCTCTCCCTTCTTCTTCATTCTCTTATTTTTTCTGGGAGCCCCTGGTGGTCTAGTGGTTAAGGACGTGGCATTGTCACCGCCGAGACCCGGGTTCGATTCCTGGTCGGGGCCACTCCCCGGGCAGATGGAGCTCATTAGCCCTGTAAGGCAATCCATCTACATCCTTAGGACCTCGCTGCCACCGTCCAAGCTCGCTTGGCCCTGGCAGATGAACCTTAGGATTAAAGGGTGGGCTCAGTTTCGCGCACACTGTGTCTCACCTAAAAAATAAAAAAAAAAAATCCAATGCGCAGGCTGGAAGGTGTAAAGACCTTCCCCGAATCTTCGTTCGCGAAGACTGGCCATTATTATTATTATTATTATTATTATTATTATTATTATTATTATTATTATTATTGTTATTATATATTTTTTTTTCAATAGAATTTGCTACAGCTGGCTGTGTGTCCCCAGAGGACAGTTAGTCTCTTTTAATACCTCATGAAAGAGCATGAGCACAGGACACCTTGCTGTGTTAAACGCTTACTGAGGCTTCTCCTGGAACAGGAGAAATCCCGCAGAGTTATTTTACTTGCATCTCACATGCATATGCATGTCTGTGATGAATACAAACAAGAACAGCTGTTTCCTTCAAAACCAGTTCAAGTCTCCAGGATTACTGAATTGCTTTGTTATGACTGTCAAATGAGAATATGAATGAAGGTATCTTACATCAAAGGAGACAGCTGGGCCCATGGGAGTAGGAAGGGCTGCAGCAATTATGACTAAGCTTTTTGGACTTACTCCAACCAAACTTTGGACTTGATGGGGTGTTATTTCTGGAATTCATTGATTCAAGTTCAGGGGGTAGTTGGAAGTCTCATGTTGGCAGGAATGCCAAGGAAAATCTGCCCCATTCCCAGTCAGCCAAGCCAGTCTGCCCCAGATAATTTGCTTGGTAAAGCCCCGAGGACATGAGAATTTGGGAGCCCAAACCCAAGCCTGTGAGAGTGGCCAAAGCCAAAGCAGCCCCAGATCTCCAGCTTGTACCACTCGCAAAGAGCCCAGCAGACAGGCTGATCTCGGCCTGGGCTCCATACCTTTGGCTTGCAGGGCAATTTGGAAGTGTCCTTTGTTGTACGCCAGAGTAGCAACAAATTTCAAATGATAAATGCCTTATTTTAAGCAAAATGATGTTTCCTTATCCAGATACAAGTAAAACTTGGGAATTTGAGACCCTTCTGTCAGATTTCTTTAAAAACATTATCCATTCCCAAATCTTGGACAGGCAGGAGGAAACAAAATGTGCTTTATGTATCTCGGTAGGACCATCTTTTCTGACACTGTAATGCAAGACTAACATATTACTTTTCACAGAAATTATGGTGAACAAACCAAGCACACTAATTATTTAATTATATATTTACTTATTTATTCTTTCATTGTTTAAAATCAAAATTTCAAGAAGTTTCTATTGAGAAATACAAAGTTTTTAATAATACTCCAGTACAAAAATGTAGTCCTTTGGATAAAAGCTTCCTTACTACTACCTCCAAATAAATAAAATTACATCAGACACATTTAAATTATTCAGT